CCAATTCCTTTCGATACAGTTCCTCAGTATATTCCTTCCATCTTCTTTTAATACTTCCTGGATCATTTAACATTCTGCCGAAAGCATCCTTGATTATAGCAACTCTGCTAAATTATTTCCAACAGTTTGTATATATTCTCATAGTTCGTGGTATTTCTGCAAAACTATGTCATTCATCAATAAGACAATTTTGTTTCTTCCTTTCTTATCTTTATACCTTATTCATTTCTTGTTTTGCTTTTTTGATTGTGACTTTGAGAGATATGTTGTGAGTAAAATGCGACTATAGCATGAACAAATGCCCCACTGGAAATGAAACTTACTGTGGAAATTTGATAGATATACTTTATATACTTTACTAAGCAAGTTCTCTTTTATCCCTGTTTGTTGGGTTTGTATCATAAATTAATATTTGTTGTTGTTGTTGTTGTTGTTAAATTCTGGGCTTTATGAGGAGGAATGTGCATCAAAATTGGAGGAAGACTCATCAACAATCTACAGATGACACAACCCTGCTTGTTGAAACTGAGGAAGACCTGAAGCACTTGCTGCAGAAGGTCAAGGACTGAAGCCTTCAATATGATTTGAGGCTCACCAGTGGGCCAACTGGAAGCACCATTATAGATAAAGAAGAGATTGAGGTTGTTAGCAATTATATCTTGCTCAGATCCACAATCAGCACTCTTAATATAGGCAATCAGGGAATCAAAAGATGAATTGCATTGGGAAAATCTGCTGTCATGTATCTCTCCAGAATGCTGAAGAGGAATGATGTCAGTCTAGATACAAAGGTGTGCCTAATCCAGGAAATGGTCTTCTCAATTACTTGTTATACTTCAGAGATTTGGACAATGACTAAGGATGACGGAAGAAGAATAGATACCTTTGAGTTGTGGTTCTGGAGAAGATTCTTGAGCATACCTGTCAAGACTGTAAGAAAACAAATCAGACTGTCTTGGAGAGGATGAAATCAAGTCTCTCTGTGGAAATGGGATTTTGAAGCTCTGCCTCACTTATTTGGCACACATGGCAAGGAGAGATCAGTCCTTGGAGAAGGACATCATGCTCAGAAGGGTGGATGGACAGCACAGGAGAGGGAGACCTCGGAGATTGAGTGATACAGTAACTGGGGTACTGGGGGTTGGTGTGTCAGAATTAGTGAGACTGGCTTAGGACAGGGAAGAGTTCAGAGCTTCTGTCCATAGGGTCACTATACATTGTAGGCAAGTCAATGATACATAACAACAATAACATACTATGACAGGTTTGGAAGCAGGAGTGGCATCCACTTGCTAATAACATGCCTCCAGAAACTCTATGAACTTTGATAAATGTCAGTAGTTGTAGAGGGGCTTCAGGCCTTTTGTTCATAGGGTCCCTATGACCCTATGAGTCATGCTCAACTCAAAGTCAAGCAGCAACGACAACAACAGGAGAGAATAAAATAGAAGAATGGGATCTTCTAAGAATCAAATCCCATGCACATAAAAAAAATTCTTTGACAGAGTTAAAAGGAAAGTTACAGACTGGGAAAATATTAGGTAATAACATAATTTATAAGGTCCTTATATCTAAAATTTAAAGATACTCCAACACTTCAAAGATAAAGGTATCAATTCATGAAAGAAGATATTCAGAGGACAAACACATGAAGAAGTGTTCAAATTCCCTAGCTATCAGAGAAAGGCAAAGCAAAACACCAAAGAGATACCATCTCACACCAGCAACAATACTTAAGTTCAAAAGGGCAACAAGGAGGAAATGTTGGCAAGGTTGTGGAGAGACTGGAAATCTTACACGCTGCTGATGGCAATGTAAAATGGAATAGCCACTATGGAAGACAATGTGGTGGTTTCTCAATGAGTTGGAAATATAAATGCCATTTGACCCAGCAATTACACTATTGGGAATATATCCTAAAGAAACCAAAGACACAACTCAAACAAATGTACACACATCCTTGTTTATTGCTGTGATAGTCACAAAAGTGAAGAGATGGAATTAGCCCATGTGTTCATCAACAAATGGATAGAAGAACTATGGTACATCCACACAATGGAGTATGCCACAACACTGAAAAATAATGAACTTGTAAACACTATACAACATAGTGAATCCCAAAGGACATTGTTGTTGTTGATTGCCATCAAGTCGAGCACGATTCATAGCAACTCTGTGAACAAAAGACCTAATGCCCTCCCATAACTACCATGATTTCTGCATGTTCATAGTTTCCATAGGTTTAGGAAATGGATGCCACAACTGCTTCCAAGCCTGTTTTACATCTGAGAGCTCCACCAAACACTCTTCACATTGGGAAACCATTATGGTATTTGATACCCCAATGTCACAAAGGACATGATGTTGAGTGAAATATCTCAGTCACAAAAGGACAAATACTGCATAACACTGGTGTGATAAAATAGCTCAGACAATGGGAAAAGAGTGCTAAGATAATGAATATTGCAACAGAACAGAGGAGAGGAAGACCTGTCCA